TGCCACGGGGGGCGGTACCGGATCAGAGCCGGGCTCGCCCACAACGTCGTGAGCAAGGTAAGGGGAGGGGGTGTCTGCCCCCGGGCACCGCCTGCCTCGGGAACCCGCGCGTGTGCTGCTTCCTTCCCCCCCCTGCATTTCTGGTGGCTACTTCCTGGGACCTCTGGCTTATTTGCAGTCCTTGATGTGTGCCCCGGCTGAGCGGCCCCGCAGCTCTCGGCTTGGCAATTCATAGACCCGGCACCTCCGGGCTTGTTGCTTCAGCTCTCAAAGTAAGAAATATGGTTTGAGACTGGGCCACCCCCTTCCATTGCTCATCTGCCCCTTTCCAAGCCGGGCCCTGGGCAGTGAGGGTGCTGAGTGCTATGAGCTGTAAAACCCTGTATATGATGGCAGCCACTTCAAGCCACCGGGTGCCTGGCCACCCCTAATTCCAGCACTTGCTCTTCCACCCTCAGTACTGTAAGCCCACCTCACCAACTGCGTAGGTTGAGCTGAGGGGCTGCACAAGCTGGGGGATAAAATATGCAAAGTGGGTTTGACCAAGGAATCCTTTCCTCCGGAGGAGGACGGTCGCCTCCCTTAAACTTATGCTCAGATATTCAAGAGGGAAAGGCCAGGTAGCAAGTAGCCTGTGTGTGGGTCACATGCTTCTGAACCCTTATCTACTTCCTGATTGCCAGATTCTTTGTTTGTTTTTCTAATTCATCATATAATGGGACTGGCACGAAGGAGGTGTATTACTGGCAGGTATTGGTTGAAAGTTACACCCAGCTGTGTCATTGAACCTGAATCCTTAACTCATAACCTCCCTTGTTCAAGTAATTCCGGGCCCCTCCTATACTCAGTGGGCAGTATTGCTAATTTTGATGACCGTTTTGAATATGCATACACTGGACACAGTTCATGGAAAAATAGGTTGGCGCCATTAGATCTGTCATGAAGCATTTGAACCCACACATCCAGAAGCAAAAGCAATCAATAACCCATTAGCTACCAACCCTTGAATAAATCCCATGCTTCCTGTCCTGATGTACTCTTTGAATTAATGTCTTGAAAACCTGAACCCTTTTTCCTTTCTTCCTCATTCCTGCCTACTTCAATACATATTTTTATCTCAGGTTTGTATTTGAATACATTTTAAGTTACAAAGTCACAAGGGTCAAGAAATAGGACACAGGGTCTACACGCTGCTGATTTACTATACTAATCTACACAGTTTTCACCGCTAGCACTAATCTCTCAAGCATTATGGGTCCAGTGGGCTAATGAAAAGACATAAAATCTTTCCAGAATTAGTTTGTGGTTGTCACCAAACAGTAGAAAGAAAATTCTCGATTTAGTACTGAGTGGAGCACAGGAGCTGGTCCAGGAGGTAACTATTACAGGACCGCTTAGGAATAGTGAGCATAATATAAATAACATTTAACATTCCTGTGGTGGGAAGAACACCTCAGCAATCCAACACTCTGTCATTTAATTTAAAAAGGGGAATTATGCAAAAATGAGGAGGTTAGTTAAACAGAAATTAAAAGGTACAGTGACTAGAGTAAAATCCCTGCAAGCTGCATGGAAACTTTTCAAAGACACCATAATAGATGCCCAACTTAAATGAATACCCCAAATTAAAAAACAAAGTAAGAGATCTAAAAAAGAGCCACCGTGGCTTGGCTAAACCATGTAAAAGAAGCAATGAGAGATACAAAGGCATATTTTAAAAAGTGGAAGTCCAGTCCCAGTGAGGTTAATAGAAAGGAACATAAACACCGTCAAATCAAGTGTAAAAATGTAATAAGAAAAGCCAAAAAAGATTTTGAGGAACAGCTAGCCAAAAACTCAAAAAGTAATAGCAAAATGTTTAAGTACATTAGAAGCAGGAAGCTTGCTAAAAAAACAGTGGGGCCCCTGAACGATCGAGATACAAAAGGAGCAATCAAGGGACGATAAAGCCATTGCGGAGAGACTAAATGATTTCTTTGCTTCAGTCTTCACGGCTGAGGATGTTAGGGAGATTCCCAAACATGCACTGTCCTTTGTGGATGATGAATCTGAGGAACTGTCCCGGATTGAAGTGTCATTAGAGGAGGTTTTGGAACAAATTGAAAAACTTAACAGTAACAAATCACCGGGACCGGATGGCATTCACCCAAGGGTTCTGAAAGAATTCAAACATGACATTGCAGAACTATTAACTGTGGCTTGTAACCTATCCTTTAAATCAGCTTCTGTACCCGAGGACTGGAAGACTGCTAACATAACGCCAATATTTAAAAAGGGGTCTACAGGCGATCCTAGCAATTACGACCAGTAAGTCTAACATCAGTACTGGGAAAACTCGTTGAAACAACAGTAAAGAATAAAATTGTCAGACACATAGAAGAACATAATTTGTTGGGCAAAAGTCAACATGGTTTCTGTGAAGGGAAATTATGTCTTACTAATCTATTAGAGTTCTTTGAAGGGGTTAACAAACATGCAGATAAGGGGGATCCAGTAGATACAGTATACTTAGATTTCCTGAAAGCCTTTGACAAGGTCTCTCACCAAAGGCTCTTATGTAAATTAAGTTGTCATGAGATAAGACGGAAGATTGTTTCATGGATTGAGAACTGGTTAAAAGACAGGAAACAAAGGGTAGGAATAAATGGTAAATCTTCAGAATGGGGAGGTGTAACTAGTGGTGTTCCCCAAGAGTCAGTCCTAGGACCAATCCTATTCAACTTATTCATAAATGATCTAGAGAAAGGGGTAAGCAGTGAGGTGGCAAAGTTCACGGACGATACTAACCTGTTCAAAGTAATCAAGACCAAAGCAGACTGTGAAGAACTTCAAAAAGATCTCACCAAACTGAGTGGTTGGGCAACAAAATGGCAAATGAAATTTCATGTGGATAAGTGTAAAGTAATGCACATTGGAAAAAATAACCCTAACTATACATACAATATGACGGGCTAATTTAGCTACAACTAATCAGGAAAGACATCTTGGGGTTACTGTAGTTCCCTGAAAACGTCCACGCAGTGTGCAGCGGCTGTCAGAAAAGCAATTAGGATGCTAGGAATTATTTACAAAGGGATAGAAAATAGGATGAAGAATATCTTACTGCCCCTATATAAAACTATAGTACGCCCACATCTGAAATACTGTGTACAGATGTGGTCTCCTCACCTCAAAAAAGATATTTTGGCATTAGAAAAGGTTCAGAAAAGAGCAACTAAAATGATTAGGGGTTTGGAACGGGTCCCATATGAGGAGCGGATAAAGAGACTGGGACTTTGCAGTTTAGAAAAGAGGAGACTGAGGAGGGATATGATAGAGGTACATAAAATCATGAGTGGTGTGGAGAGGGTGAATAAAGAAAAGTTATTTATTTGTTCCCATAATACAAGAACTGGAGGACACCAAATGAAATTAATGGGTAGCAGGTTTAAAACTAATAAAAGAATGTTCTTTTTCACACAGCGCACAGTCAATCCGTGGAATTCCTTGCCAGAGGAGGCTGTGAAGGCTAGGACTATAACAGTTTAAAGAAGAGCTAGATAAACTCATAGGCTACGTCAACACTGGCATGATTTTCCGGAAATGCTTTTAACGGAAAAGTTTTCCATTAAAAGCATTTTCGGAAAAGCGCGTCTAAATTGGCAGGATGGTTTTCTGCAAAAGCACTTTTTGCGGAAAAGCGTCCATGGTTAATCTAGACGTGCTTTTCCGCAGAAAAGCCCCAATCGCCATTTTCGCGATCGGGGCTTTTTTGCGGAAAACAAATCTCTGCTGTCTACACTGGCCCTTTTGCGCAAAAGTTTTTCGGAAAAAGACTTTTGCCTGAACGGGAGCAGCATAGTATTTCCGCAAAAGCACTGACAATCTTACATGAGATCGTCAATGCTTTTGCGGAAATTCAAGCGGCCAGTGTAGACAGCTGGCAAGTTTTTCCGGAAAAGCGGTCAGTCTAGACACAGCCATGGAGGTTAGGTCCATAAAAGGTTATTAGCTAGGGGATAAGGAATGGTGCCCTTGGTCTCTGTTTGTCAAAGGCTGGAGGTGAATGGCTGGAGACAATTTGCTTGATCATTGTCTTCGGTCCACCCTCTCTGGGAAACCTGGCAGTGGCCATTGTCAGCAGACCGGATACTGGGCTAGATGGACCTTTGGTCTGACCCACTATGGCTGTTCTTATGTTCTTACAACACTTTTAAACAGAGAATCTCAAGTTATGACTGCCTCTGTACCAATGCAGCATACTAAGTAGATCAGTTTTAGATTACACAACAAGCTACTTTTCTGCAAAAGTTGTTGAGGGTGGCAATGAGTAATGTAGATTTGAAAGTCACACAACTGGTATGCACTGTGATAAATTTATTTCTAGCTATGTATTTAATGAAGGAATAAAAGAAGACTTGCATTTTAGGTATAGAAATCATCCTAGTCAAAAGGAAAATTGCATACTTCTTGCTCTGTATTACATAGTCATCCTGTAAAATATAAATATGACTTATAGTTAAAACTACAATGAATTCTGATGTGGAAGTATTTCCATATATTCTAATTAGCAAATGTACAGGATCACTTTGCCTTTTCACGTGATATATTTTTAATATATTAGTGGTGCAAAACTCTTTTGTGCCATCTCTGTACAATTCTCATTGATACTAGTAAACAACTGTAGCTTATGAGATATAAAACAAAAATGTTACATCATGATAGCAGTTCCCTTAATCTCAAACCCCCAAAGCTGAGCAAAAAATAGTTCTCACATGGGAACTCTGTTTGGATTAACTGTGCTGCATTACTTTCCTCAACTAGACATGCACTCATCAAGCATGGTTGCTCTTGCTCATGTCAGTTATTGGAAATCATTTAAGTTTTTCAGCATGTATCTCAAAGTGATAGATGAAAAAAGCAACCAGATACAGGACAAGCAAATAAACCCCAGAAAAATTCACAAGCATAATGGTTCAAAAATGTCTTCCCTCACACACACTGTCTAGTGTGATGTGATATAAAACTGCAGATCTGAGGTTGTGTTTGGGCCAGATTTGCTTCTGCTCTGACCGAGG